AACTCCTGGGGGAACAGAGCTTGTAGAAGAGGCCACGTTGATTGGGCCCTTTTCTTTCCAGGTGCCTCTCGGAACTAGTGTTCTTTAGCACAAGCGTTGGAGATACAACTCCAGACACTTTAAAATGCACACTGAGGTGGATTTTTAAAGACCACATTCCAGGCAGGCATGGTGGCCCACACCTGTAATCCCTGCGACTCAGAAGAATGAAGCAGGTTCAAGGTCAGCCTAGCAACTTTGGGAGATTCTGTCTCAAAACAAAAAATAAAAAGGGCTGGGGATGTAGCTCAGTGGTCCTAGGGAATTTAATTCCCTGGTACCACCAAAAAAAAAAAAAAAAAAGACCACATTCCGGAGCTGGGGGTGTAGCTCATTGTAGAACTTGTATTTAGCGGTATTTAGCTTGCAAGAGCAGAAAAAGGACAAAAGGGGAAAACAAAACATTCCTGGATGATATCTTGGTTCCACCTGCCCTTACCTCACCTCCCCTCAGAAATGCTTTCATAAATTGAGCCTGATCTTGAAGCACTAGTTGTAGGTGTTTTATGGATTTGTAAGATCCAGCCTGTCGTGTATGTGTAGCCCCTGCCTCTAACTCTGAGCAGACCTGCATACTTCAGTTTTCTTAGGATGATATTAATTGTGGTGTTTTACAGAGAGGGAGAGGAGCAGGAGAGAGAGAGAGAGGGAGAGAGAGAGAGAGAGAGAGAGAGAGATTCTGACTATATAAGGGGCCCTCTTCTAAGGCAAACCCTATAGCCTATCTCAAAATCCAGTGTGCCTTCGTTCTCACACTCCACTACACACAGGAAACAAGCTCAGCTCGTTTGCAAAGCCACACCACAAGTGTGAGGGAATGGGCGGTTCATTGCCTTGCCAAGGCCAAGCGCTGAGTAGGTGTGATTCTGGGTGTGGACAGCCCTTCCAACCCTTAGTGCATCATTTGCAGGGAAGGAAGTGCCTGGCTTCCCCTAAGCACCTACTATGTGTCAGGTACTACCCAGGGCACATCACAGTCATTATTTTCTCTTTGACCTCCTGCAAGTACCCTGTAAGGGAGAGATCTATTATTGCTCTTTACAGATAAGTAAACTAAAGTTTGGAGCTATGAAGCTACTCAAGGAAATGGCAAAGCCGGAATTCTACTTGGATCTTTCTGACCCTGAAATGCACATTCTTCACACTACACCACACTTCTAGGCTCTCTTACCTTTACTCTGAGGACTTTGTCTTTATGGTCCCAAGGAACAGAACCCAGGAATAATGAATGACCTTGGCTTCACTCTCCAAAATGGGCCTCTGTTCTAAAACTTCCTTGACTCTTCAGGAAGCTTTCCAGATCCCCTTGAGGGAGGTCTTCTCCCTCCTCTGAACCCTCAGCTCATTCTCTGCCCCTGTCCTTGGCCCTTTCTCCCTTTGAGAGAGACTGTCCCTGAGCCCCAAAAGCTAGGGACACTGTCTGATGGGTCCACCAGCACAGGACTCAGTGCAGGGGACTGCTCTTGCCTTTCCGGGAGTAGATGAGCCCTGTTGGAGCTCAGGGGGAGCTTCAGCATGTTTCCAGTCCCCACAACAGGTGACAGGCCTTGGGGCAGGAGATAGGAGAAAGGCTGGGACATGCTGACTAGGTGGAAAATATGTGACAAGAAAAACTCCAGTGAGGCAGGGGAAACCTGGAAAGTCTGGCTGAGGTGGGGACTACCCCCAGAAGCTGAAGGCTCCGAGTTAGCCTCTCCGAAGACCGGAGGTAGCTTTCGGCGCTGTTCTGAGCTCCCCCACCCCGGGTTTGGAGCCGCAATACCGCAATACGGAGGACAAACTGACCTATACATGCAGCTGGGGCTGAGCAGGAGGGGACAGGGCAGAGGGGAGGACATCCTGCTGTGACATTTGGCAAGGCAGGAAAGGCAACTTTCCAGATGGAAGTTCAGAAGTTCCTTGCCTAGGGCCAGCTGTACTCCTGTCCGGGATAAAAATAGCCCTTCCTCTTTCCTCTCTCATCGTTCTCTTTCTGAGACTTCCCAGAGTCAGAGCAGATGTGTCCGCCCAAGGACTCCATCCCTGATGACAAATATCCCCTCACAAACCCATTCGCTCCCCTTGGTAGTCTCCTCCCTCTCTCAAACAATGCTGGTCACTTAGGCTAAGGTCACTTCTCATACCTCCATCTGGATCCTCTGGGTGACTCTCTGTCTCTTTCAAGAGGTTCTTGTCTGGCCTAGGGACCAGAAGTATTGATTCCTGGGTCTTCTGACTCAAGATTGTCCTATGACCCTTTTCCACTGTGGAGCAAAAAGGTGTCCCAGCCTAGGCCACTACTCTCCAGGGTTTAGCTTAGCCACCGCTTTACTGGTGGGTCTTAAATGCCTCATTCTCATGGGATGAGGAACTGGACGTGGTGATTTCTGAAGGCCTTTTTAATACCTGATGTCCATGTGCCAGATCTCCAAGAAGCGATAATCTCCTCGTCAGATGGTGGCAGAGGCAAGAGCCATCAATTTCACAGGAAAGGGGAGATCCAGCTGACCTCCAGTGACGTGTTTCTCTCAGCCTGAAGGGTTGCTGCAGATGTGGCCCTACACATAGCTGCAGCCCTCTGGGCTTGGCTTCCTACCACAGTCCCTGGACCCCGGTTCCCAGTACTCCTTACCTGTCCGGCCCAGGAGCCCTCTGGCCCATTCACATGGTCCTCCTGGCCTTGCTCGGCTGCCCAGATACAGTCTCAGCTCCCCTTGCCGTCGCAGTCACCACCTGTCTCCCTGCGCCCACGTTCCACCCTGACTTCCTGCCTCCTCCTGAGGACTCTGCAGCCAACCAGGCCCCAGCAGCCCAACCACAAGCCTGTAGCACCCCAAGCTTCCTGTCAAAATAGCCCCCCGCCCCTCAGCCTCTAGGGGTCCTAGACATCTCCAGGCCGGACCCTACTCATTCTGAGGGTGGTATTTGGAAGTTTAAAGTGCAGGGGAGGATGTTTGATAGACCCTCCCTCCTGCCCTCCAGACTCTATCAGGGCAAGTGATTCATGGGCAGCCCTTGACCCCAGTGAGTGCAGGCGAGCACATACCTGCTCAGCTTACAGAGAAAGGCAAATGGCACCAGTATCACAGTGTGATTGCTGAGTGGCCCCCTTGTTTCAGTCTGACAGCAAAGGTAACATCATTTGCCAGGTTCAGTAGCACACACATATAATCCCAGCTACTCATGAGACTGAGGCAGGAGGACTGAAAGTTCAAGGCCAGCCTAGGCAACTTGGTGAGATTTTTGTCTCAAAGTAAAAAATAAAAAGGATTGGGGGTGCTGGGGTTGTAGCTCAGTGGTAGACTACTTGCCTCACATGTGCGAGGTGCTGGGTTCGATCCTCAGCACCACATAAAAAATAGATGAATGAAGTAAAGGTATGTGTCCATCTACAACTAAAAAAAGAAGGACTGGGGGAATGTAGCTTAGTGCTAAAGTGCCTTTGGGTTCAATCCCCAATACCAAAAAAAAAAAAAAAAAGTTCTCATTGGCAGTCAGAGGATAGAACAATATGACTGTTAAATAGTTAGAGAGAAGACCACATGTGTTACAGTCACACTTGAGGCTGAAACAGTTGCTATAGATAGGACAGAACAGTACTCATGTCATTGCAGGGCTTGGACAATAACTTTATTAGAATCACAGGATAGACTAAGGCCGGGCAAAACCCTTCTACAGACAGAACACTCACAACATCCTGTGTTGGGAGTCAGGATGGACAACCTTCAAGAGGAGACGGTGACAGCTCCTGCTATAGACAGAGGGCAGGATAATGCTCATTAATGATGGCTGACAAGTGGGGCAGCACTGCTAATGCAGGCAGAGGCGAGGCCACAGCCCCTGGTAGAAGAGCACGGCCTGGCACCATCTCCTGCACTGGTGGAAGGCCAAGAAAATGCACTGCTCCAGGCACACAAGGGCTTTGGTCAGACTGTCAGCACTTTCTGTTATCAGCAGGAGGCAAGAAACTTGCCACAAACAGCAGGCAGGCCAAATTCAATTTCCTGCATCCAGGCTGGAAATGGCACCCATCATAAGCTGAGGACCAGGTCATCAGTGAGTGATATATGAGGAGCTCTGGTGGCCCCTCTCAGGCCCAAGAATTGAGCCTGGACCCCACTAGGAGGAAAGTGTAAGTTCATGGCCTCCTGAGCTCCACTGAGCGAGCAGTGGGGGTGGGGAGAAAGGGAGCCCACAGAGCATTGTTGGGGTTTGTGAGGTGGAAGCTGATGCTGTCTGTGTGCACCTCAGCGGTGGAGGGAAGGGGGACAGGAAATGGGTGGGGGGAGGAGGAAGCCTGAGTTGGAAAGTCAAAGAGAGTAAAACAGAAACAAAGGCTGAGAAACACAAAAGTAAAAAACCAGGGTGATAACAGAGCCCCAGGCCTGGTGCAAGGTCCAGCTGCCCTTGCCAGGTAAACCTGAGCACTTCATAGTCCATCTCTGGGCCTCTGTGCAAGAGTAATAATGTGATGGTAATGATAAGCAATACATCGGCTGGGTATTTACTGTGTACTCCCTCAGTTGAGCCATAGTCAGTTACCTGTCCAATGAGAATTAGTATCTTCATTTTAGAAGAAGACAGATTCAGGGAGTAATTAGGGACCTCCTAAATGTCTAACAAATAAATGGGGGAGCTGGCTTTAAACCCAGGCTTATCAGATTCTGCATTCTTTTTCAGTACTGGGACCAAACCCAGGGCCCTGTGCATGCTAAACAAGTGTTGTCCCACAGAACTACATGGCCAGCCTAGATTTGGCATTCTTCAGTCACCCACTGAACCTAAATCACCTCTTGTGGGTAGGATTTCAAGTTTTTTACCACTTCTGATCATGAGCTGTGGGGAGATGGGGCTGCAATAGTCCTCTCCACCCACAACCAGACCTTCTCTTCTCCCTCGAAACTCCTGGTCCCAGTGACTGACAGAGGCCTTGGGCCTAAATGAAAAACTGCAGAGACCTTGATGGGAGGCAGAGGGCTTTATTGAGGAGATTGGGGTGGGGTCTAAGAGACCTGAATGTGCCCCCACCACACCAGGTGCTGGCCCTCTGGGATACCCCTCCCATCTGTCTTCCCAGGTCGCCCTCAGCAGAGGGTGAAGCGCCGGGTGCTGATGTTCATACGCGTGAGGCCCAAGTGCCTTAGCGACGGGGCTAGGGCCAGGCCGGCCCCGGGCTCCAGCTCCAGCTCCAGCTCGGCCTCGTCCAGCAGTTCCTGGTGCTGGTGACAAGCTTGGTCCACCTTCAGCCGGTGCAGCTGGGCCCGCAGCCTCAACAGCTGCCCTGCCAGCTGGCGGTCCTGAGCCTGCATTTCCCGCTGCGGCCGAGAGGGGGCGTGAGCCTGCGAGGCCTGCTCCAGTGTCACCTGCCTTTCTTACTTTCCTGTCAACACTCTGGGCCTTTCTTTGCACTGGTTTGTCCCTGGCGCCCACTCACCCTAGCTTCATCCTTCCCCATCACTCAGATCTTGCTCCACACTAGGAGTTCTCAGCGCTAAAGAGCCATTATTATGCAAATACAGATGCCTGGGACCCCATCCCAGATAAACTAAGTAAAATCTCCAAGTTGGAGCAGAGCACCGTGGCACATGCCTGTAATCCCAGCGGTTTGGGAGGCTAAGGCAGCCTCAGCAAAAGCAAGGCACTAAGCAACTCAGTGAGACCCTGTCTCTAAATAAAATACAAAAAAGGTCTGGGGATGTGACTCAGTGGCCGAGTGTCCCTGAGTGAAATCCTTGGTAACCCCCCTACCCCCACCCCCCAAAAAAATCTCCAAGTTGGAGCCTGGACACCTTTATATGTGCACATGTTGGCTTGACAGCTAATATTCAACACTCTCCTCTTCAGATTCTGCCTACAACATGATCAGTACCTTCTTTTGTATACTTCACTGTATTTCTCTGAGGGCATAGCAGTTCCCAAAGTAGGGGAGGCCATGTCTTTCTCTACCTATAACTGATGGTCCCCCAAGGGCAGGGCTCTCTCCCCTGAGCCACACGAGCATAAGCTTTGTAGATTGATGTAATCCTTCTTCAGCAAGACTTTCCACATAAAATAGTAAACAAGGATATTTCTGGCTCCTGAGCCCCAGAGACACAGGAGCTGGCAGTTGCTGGAGTTAGGGGATCTGTTCTCATCCCCTCCCCACACCCATGGTCTTGGGCCCTAAGGAGGATTGGCCTGAAGACCCCATGTAAGGCAATCTAAGCCACCAGACTCACCAGCTCCTGCCGGAGCCACTCAAGCGCAGAGTCCATTGAGTCAAAGCCGCAGATGGCTCCAGGTCCACCGGCCCCAGGTTTGGCTTGGGCCCTGTGCCAGGCCTGGCTCTGGACCCTAGCGGTCCACTCCAGATATGAGGGTCGCCGAGTCTGTAGCTGCAGCTTGGCTGTCAGTGCCTTCACAGAGTCCAGGCTCTCCTCCTCCTCTTCCTCATCCTCCTCATCCACTGCCTGGAATTTCGGTGGCCCCAGGGACATGGTGGGTTTGCAGTGAGTGACAAGGCAGGGCTGCTGCTCTGGGATGAGGGAAAGGCCTGCAATATGGCTCTGGGAGAGGTGGTAGAAGCTAAGAGTAAAAAGAGTGTGCCAGAGAGTGGGTGACGGTGAATGTTCAAGGTGGGATAGAGAGTCTGAGTGTGCCAGGCTGGGTGAGCATATGGGTGTGTGAAGCTAAGTGTGCAAGGACTGGAATTTTCCTGGAATCCTAACCAGGAGCCACGTGATGCCCATCCGGTGGGGGTAGGAGGAGCCCTGCTTTTCTAGTTCTTTAGATGAAATTTATTGTCTTTGCCCAGAAGGAGACTCCCAGTTCCCAGAAAGGAAGTTGCTCCAGGATAAGAAAAGCATCATTCACACCAGTCTTGGCTCTCTTCCCAAGACCCAAGACCAGAAGTTGAGAGGGGGAGGAGGTTGACAAGCTGCCCCATCCTCATTCATAGCACTAGCCCATCAGCCAAGGAATAGGGCCCAGAGGCCCCACCTGGCAGTAAGGAGACCAGGTTGCAGTGCTGGTTCAGTGAGGCTTGGGGCAAGTCCCTATCCCTCTGTGAGCCTCTACTGGGACAGATCAATAACTTTGGAAGTATTATAAGTACAGTACTCCTGGCCTGTCATATTTTTTTCTTCTTCTCTTTCTTCCTCTTTTTTTTTTTTTTTTTGTGGGTGGTGTTGGGGATTGAATCCAGAGCTTTGTGTGTACTAGGCAAATGCTCTACCAGTTAGCTACAGTCCCAGCTCTACCCTAACTTCTGACAGCTTAAATTAGTTTTGCCTATTTGTATACATTCTAGTGATTCTCAAACTTGAGCATGCATTAGAATTACCTGGAAAGCTTCACTCACAAAGTTTCAGATTCAGTATATCTGGAGTGGGACCTGAGAATTTGCATGTCTATCAAATTCCCACCATAACTGCTGCTGTTGGACTGAAATTTTATAATTTGAACTCTTTATCTGGTTCTTGATAAAACAGCTCCAATTTTATGGTTTCATTATAGGAGTCCACCTATGATTTCACTTTTTTCATTAAAAGAAGGGTTACCTAGTGAATTATTCTTAATCAGATTCAGCATAGTGCAGACATCAATAAGAAATTTTTAAAAATTACTTAGGTGGGTGGATGGATAGATGATGAATCAGACTGAAAATTCTATGAATAGAATCTTCATCAGTCACCCCTGCCCCTCAGCACCAAACACATGGCCTCAATCATTGTCTGGGCAGTAGGCACCTGGGGAAAGGATGAAGCATAAGCTGTGAGTAATAGAGCATCAGCAACAGCTAGAATTGGCCACTTTCGAGGGCGCCCTCAGGCAGGGACTTCCAGCTGTGGAGCGGGAGGGGCGCCAGCTACACAGCTGCATGCATTTAAGGTGGACCAAGGGATTTCCCCCACTCAAGCTTCAGAGGTATGGGAGGAAGTAGGTAGTTCCCAGTTTCACACTTTCCAACCCATCCACCACAGTGCAGAAGAATAGATGGTTATTTTTCTTTCTTTCAAAAGGCAGCAGGGGTGCCAGCACCCCCAAAATAAAAAGCCCCAAATATCGAGTGCCTCTTGAGACCCAAACAAGGGCTTCAGGCAAGATTATTCTCCCCATTTCCCAGATGAGGAAATTTGAGGTTTCCTTAACAGACTTTGGCCGGGGTCCTCGCTGATGTTGGCAGTAGAAGAAAATCCCTGTGGAACTGTACGTTCCCTTCCTTTGAGGGGCCTCCTTAACAGCTGTCCTGCCGGCGTCGCCAGCTGCCCAGCCAGTTCCTGTCCCTTTTGGAGCCCGCTTTCGCCCCGCCCGACGCTACCAGAGCCTGTCCCGCTGGGCCCCAGGGCCCCCGCTGGTAGAATGGAATTCTCAGAGCTGATCCGCACCGGCCGGGCTCAAGCCGAGCTACTCTCCGGCCCGGAGGAGCCCCCGTTGCGCGGCACGCTGTGCGTCACCGGCCACCACCTGCTGCTGTCTCCAGGGCCCCCATCGACTGCAGACCTGTGGCTATTGCTGTTGCGTAGTGTCGACTCCATCGAGAAGCGGTGAGACGTGGCTGGGACGTCCCACAAGTTGGGGAGCGCGCGACGCTATGGGGAGAGGGGGAAGGGCCAGCGCACTTGGAGCTGGCGCCCTCCTGCATAACGTCCAATTGTATGAAACTCGTTCTCTTCCCCTGATGGAGGGCGGGGTATACTGAGCCTGGGTCTGTCCACCCCTAGGGTGGCGGGTGACTCCGGCACAATCACCCTACGCTGTAAGGACCTGAGGGTGCTGCAGCTGGATATAGAGGGCGTGGAAGCGACCCTGGACATCGCCCGTTCCATCGAGGTATTCAGGGGGCGCACCCGAGGTCCTTAAGCTATCCCTATCCAGTACTGGGGGGAGCATAAAGGGGGTTACTAGTGCAAAGGGGCTCTGTACCCAGTGTTGTCCCGAGGCTCAGCTAAATGGCATGACATGCAAGATGGCTTGGGGTACAAGGAGAGTTGGGAGTTGAGAAGAGGAGGAGCTGGAATGTACTCAATTGAGATAAATCCTACTGCCCCTGACGTTCGTCCCCAGGCGCTGTCCTCTCTGGAATCGGTCATCACCTCCTTTCCGTTCTTCTACCGTCCCAAGGGCCTGAGATTGGGCGACGCCTGGCACTTCCATCCGCCCGAATGCTACTACAAGCGAGTAGCTCGCGAGGTGGGCGCGGTCATGAGGGCCTGGGGATGAGGAAGCACCGGGTCTAGCAGGGGCACGCCGGCTGGGCACTCATTGGGTGCCTTAGACCTAGCCTTCGACCCTCTCTATGCTGCAGACCAACGCGTGGCGGCTGAGCGAGGTGAACCAGGACTTTAGTTTGTGCCCCAGTTACCCTCGAGCGGTAATCGTGCCTCGAGCGGTGGACGACGATGCCCTGGCGCGGAGCGCCCGCTTCCGCCAGGGAGGCCGCTTCCCAGTGCTCTGCTACCACCACGCACCCAGTGGAACCGTGAGCCAGCCCCTCCCCAGGCTCCGCCCTGAGATCCAAAAGCCCTTTTCCGCCCTGGAGGAGCCAATTAGCGTCTGGCTGCTGCCTGGGACTCCTGCCCCATTCAGGCCCCGCCTCGCTCTGCCTCCAACAAGCCCCGCCTCCTGGAAATCCTGAGGTCCGGACTCGGGCCCCGCCCCTCCCGCATTTCTGGATTTCACCTTTCTCGGTCCGGTCCCCACCCCTTGAAGCTTAGTTCCTTTGTCAACCCAGATCTGGTGTCTGCTCGTAGGGACCCTCCTACCTCTGGCCTCAGACAGCCATGACCTTCGCAGAGCCCATCTGAAGCCTTGTGAATTCCGCACCTAAGGTCCCAGCGCCACAGTCAGCCTTTTCCTAGTGTAGGCGGCTCCTGAGTGTAGGCCTAGCCGAGAAGATCCCCAAGCCCAGAGCCCAATTCCTGAACCTGAGCTGGGTCCCTGTCCACAGGTTCTGCTACGCTCCAGTCAGCCACTGACTGGTCCCCAGAAGAGGCGCTGCGCTGAGGATGAGGACTTGCTTCGAGCTGTACTGGCAGGGGCTCACCCTGGGGCTCGGGGCTTCATAGTGGACACACGATCTGCCCAGGCTGCTAAACAGGCCCGGATGACTGGAGGGGGCACAGAGGCCAAGGCCGCCTACCCTGGCTGGAAACGACTGCACCGACCCCTGGAGAGGTAGGAGGCCTCACATCTTCTCCCAGGCTTTGCCACAGAAGATGCTTTGTTGCATAACCATGGTTATAAGCTTAGACTTTATCCTAAAAGCTGTAGGAACCACTGAAAACGCTAAACAGGGCTGAAAAATCTGTTAGAATTTCTGGTGGGGTTCACTGATGGCGTTAGATTTCCTTCATGAATGTGTGTGTGGGAGGGGAAGAAGAGCCAGGGCTCTGGAAGACTCTTAGACCTTTCCTGGCAGCCATCCTGGCAGCTGGCCATCCCCACTTTCACACCCACAAATGAGAGAGCTCATCACTAAGTACCCCAACTCTACCTGGAAAGAAAATGCACCTTTTTTACATTAAGTTGAAATTGGTCCTCCTGGAAAAAACCTGCACACACACACACAGACACACACACACACACCCCTCCCTGAAGGCTGTACCTGCACAGATATAGATGTATCTGTTGCTTTGGGGAGAGCAGACTGCTTCCCTATCCAATATGTAAAACTCTTATTAATTTATTCACCCAACATTGAGCATAGGGGCTGCCATGGTGAGTAGTCTCGACTTGACAGAGCTCAGTAGTAAATGGGCAATTAGAACTCAGTGAAATAAGTAGTAGCAAGAGGAGGCAACCTGTCTTAGTAATTTGAAGGTTTCCCTGAGAACAGGATGCTTTTGGTGAGACCTGAAAGAGGCAGAAGAGTTAGTTAGGAGGGAGAAGGTCATTTCAGGTAGAGGGAACTGAAGAGAGAAGGAACTGCAAAGAGAGCCTGGTCATTTGTCCTATTGGGGAGCTGCAAGCAACTTCACGGTGTTAGAAGTGTAGGGTAGGAAGTGGGAGAGATGCTGCTAAAGGGAGAATGGGGTCCAGAGAAAAACCATGAAAAACTTGAACACCATGGTTATGAATTTAGACTTTATCCTCAAGCCAGTGGGAATCCACTGAAGATGTTGAAGAGGGCGGAAATATCTGTTAAATTTTCTGGTAGAGGGCCACTAATGGCGTTAGATTTTCTGGTGTGTGTGTGTGGGGTCACTGATGTCCTTGAGCAGAGTGGTTTCTAGAGGTAGGAGCAGGTGCAGAATCCCGAAAGTACTGTGTTTCTTTCATTGGACGGGGATTCCCCAAGGAGAACTGGGTTGTTTTCATCAGATTGGGGTACTTCAAGGATAACTGGGGGTTTCCTGGGGTATTGTAATACAGTGGTTCCCTCCAACAGACTAGCACTCCCCTAAGAGTCTTAGTTTGCCCTATAAGATGGAGGGTTTCTCAAAGATATGACATAATTTTCATGAGATTAGGGCTCTTCCATGGGTTTTATACCCCATGAGACTGGACTCCCCAAAGGGTTCTATGCCCCTCCTATCAAATGGGCTCCTCAGAAAGTTCTATTTCCCTCCCTCATTGGGATGAAGCACTTGCTTCCAATCTGGGCTCACCCAGAGCTTGGACTGGGGAAAGGATGACCAGATTCCCTTTTGCCTAGGGGACGGGCTCTCCAGGAGAGCTTTGTGCGCCTAGTAGAGGCTTGTGGGGACCCAGAGCAGAGCATGGACCGCTGGCTTAGTCGGCTGGAGGGCTGCCGCTGGCTGGCACATGTGAAGGAGGCACTGAGCACCGCCTGCCTGGCAGCCCAAGGAATGGAAAGGTAAAGTTCCTACCCTGTGAGACAGAATGGATATGGTGGGGTGAGCAGGGCTCTCAAAACCATGATTCATAAGGAAATACAGTCTAGAACTGGGCACAGCCTATTCCTGGTCTTGCCACCCCAGGCAGGGAAAAAGTTGCCATTGTTCATGGGCCCTTCCCATGATAGGGAAGGAGCCTGCATCCTGGTACATGGGGCTGAAGGCAGAGATAGCACTCTGCTTGTGACTTCACTGGCCCAAC